CGACATGGATGAAGAAAGACATGCTTGTAGGAGATATTTTCAATGCAACAAGTTTTTCATGAGTCGTGCTTATGGGAGTTTCTTCACCAAGCAAGGTTTCGTAATGGTGGGATATAAACGTTTGGTGATGGTTGATTTAGTGTTTAGAACTATTTAGGGCGAGTTTAGCATAGTTTTGATTTTTGCTTTTTGTAAAAGAGTTTTTAGAAGAAATTACATTAATTATTGTCAGAAAACTAAATTTTAAAAGAACTTTCTAATTCAAAAGTATTGTTAAAGAAAGTTACATTAAATCAGATTACTCTAAAAGCTCTTTTATTACCCAAGCGGATTCAAAAAATCGTTTTTAGATCTCAAAAACTCCTTTTGACTTTTCAAAAATCACGTCAAGCAGACCCTTTGATTTTGATTTTGTGCTTGTTGAGTATTTATGTGGAGTGCTTTTAGCAAAGAGGTGAAGTAACTATATATTAGAGGTTTGATTCCAATTACTTGTCAAAATATGAATAAAATGCATTGCACTAATCATTGTATGGAAGAAAAAAAGATAGCATATTGTAGTATTTATTTAATTTTTAGTTAGATCTATTCATTACTAATGTTTAGGAGACGATCTAGCAGAAAGAAGATTGACTACATAAGCGTGAAAATTATTTTTGAAAACACAAAAATCTCATATAAGGAAGATGGACAATGAAAAAATGATAATTAACACAAAACGTCCTTGCTTTTCAATGTTATTATGCAAAACATCAATACATTTCATTTTTTGATATTTCCACCCCTACCTTCACATTTTATTGTGGAAAATAATCATTTTCATCCAATTTGTCATGTAAAATGACAAATATACACTCTTATTCAAATAAAACAGAAAAAATAAAATAAAAAATAAACAAAAATTGCAATCATGCACTTAAACTTTTTTAAAAAGTGCGAATAAGTCCAAATAAATTTGATGTGAACTCGGTTAGCACGACCACTAACGAACCCACAACTAGATTGACACGGATTCCAATAAAGCCAAGAATCATCGATTTTGGATTTAATTCACCAATAATGAATTAAACAACCGTTAATATGTGAATTTAACGACCTCTTAATTACACAATTTTTAAATCTCACCCGGATTTGTATTAAACGCCACAAGATTAACAAATCTTGATAAGTTCGATTTTTTCTTTAAAAAACAAGAAATTGGAAGCAAAACAGCCTTTTGTATTAATCTCTCAAATGTTAAAGTTCCAATACAATGAAAATAAAGACCTATCTATACAAAAACCCTGGGATCTAATTAAAAAGGTAAAAATACGTTTAAATAATCCTAAAAATAAAAAAAGATTATACTTTTCAAACCCTCCAAAACCTCTTCCCAAACCAATACTCCCGATTTCCAAATTTAGAAGACTCCCAATCCATTATAACAAAAAAAATTCTCAACCATGCCATGACTCCGATCATCTTCACACTTCGTATGGTTGCACGAGGAGGACAATGAAGCTTCAATGCAACAACGCCAAGTGCCATTTGATAAAGAAAGCTACCACAAATGAGAAAGGATATTTCTTCATACTGTGAAAGATGCTGACACAAGAAGTTCCCACAAGTGCAAGGTGCTTTTAATTTCTTCGTTGTCAACTAGATGTGTCATTTCTTTTAATGGAGGTTTCATGAACGTTGAGGAGTTTGGTTCAATAACGGATGTTTTTAGTATTTTATGTATACATTTTGGTGTTTCATTAAAACAATTTATTGTTTCAAGGTATATAGGTTTTCCTTTTCAAAATATTCGTTTCAGGGTATATAGGTTTTCTTTTTCAATTGTGCTACTCGCACACGCTCACGGATCGACTCATGGACAGGGGTTTAAAATAATTGGGTTTTTTGACCAAAAAAAAAAATAGAAGAAGAAGAAGGCATTTTTGACTAAAAAAAAAAAGAAAAAAGAGCAAAAAATACTTTCAATAAACAAAACAAAATGGGCCAGAAAAATCAAAAGCTAGAAGACAATTCTCTCTCTATCCACGACGAGAAACAGAACCCGAATCCATGCCCCCAGATTCGAAACCCTAAGCAAATCTATCTATCTCCGGCTAAAATTCCAAGCGCTCGACGTTGCTGGAGAGTTCCACCGTCTCTTGACCCATGGGATCCGATTTCCTTCAAACCCCTCACCGTCTGCCCAATCACCATCGCGTCGTACCTTCATCAAAAGTTTCGTTGTCTCACGGAGTCCAATCTTTCGTCGTCGGCAAACCACTAGACCAACAAGCAGGTTATAATTTTCTATTGCATCATTCTCTCCCTAAAATAGAGCTAATTCCGTTCCCCGGTACATTTATTTTGCCTTTTCGTATTCAATTTCATTCTTGGTTTTGAAGATAATGTTAAAGTAAAATTATTTTGGTTCTGTAATTCAATGATCTAGTGAGTTCTCTGGGTGTTTGTTTAGTTCATTAATATGCTGAAAAACGGTGGTTTAAAACTCAGTGGTTCCACTGATTGGAACGTATCATTCCCCATTGAATCATGAAAATTGCTATTCACAAATTCTTTTGAAATCAATTAATTTTTTGTGTATTTGAAATTATAATTCATCAAGGGTATTGATAAATTAATGATGTATGAAATGTTACGTCATTATAGATTCAGTTGAGATGGTATCTCATTGATAAATTAATGATTTGTTATCATTTTACTTGGCAATCTCCTACAAATGGCACCTCATTGTAGATCCTATGGTTAAGTCACCAGTTTTCTTCGTAATGAGTATTACCCTGGAACTTGTGGCAATCATTTTTGTGACCATGTTGTGTTGATTCCCATTTCAGAATGCTTGGAAGGAACTCTAGAATATGTCATAGTTGTAGAGCTAAAGATCACTTCTTTGTCGAATGTAAAAAGAAACGTCGGTGCACACGATGTCAACATGGCTTTGAGAAATGTTTTGTGGTGGAGAAGGAGAATGAGAACTAAGGAAAATTATTCCTTTGCTGTAGTAACAACTGCGAATTTTGGGAGTGGGTTGTCAAAGAAGAATCAAGTGGTCCATCCGGATATAGTAGTGCAAACTTGGTTAACCATGTGAAAAATGAAATAGTTGAAGAAATGTCCCGTACTTTCCAATCTCAAGTTTGAATAAGCGACAAAGAAGACCTCCAGATTTCGGTGGATATGAGGCTCTGTGTGGAGAAAGTTAGCGTAGAAGTGAATGTCAAAGGAAAACGGCCGGTGTAATTTCTAGATAGTGCTGGAAAGAGTAAAATGACGTGGATTTGTACATATATGACCAGTATGGCGCAAGAACACGTTGTATTGCTATTTCCTGTATGAACATTGTCACCGCATTTTGATATTGTAGCTTGGCTCATGCTTTTTGGGTTTAAAATGCTGGCTTTTCATTTTGATATTTTAGTAGTTCTCGTTCTATATCTGTCAACTGTGATACTCCAAATCAATCATTTGTGTTGTTCTCTTTGGAAATTTTTGATTTTGTGATAAGTTATATTGTTATGATTCTAATGCTTTTTTAGAATGCAAGTGCAAGTTCCAGCCTTGAATGGAAAAATTTTATCAATAAGTTGGATGGGGAAAGAACTTTCCAATTTATTTTTACTGCAGCAGCAGAATCAAACACTAGAATTAACATCCATGCCATATTAATTCTAATCTTTTAGATAAGACAAAAAAATGCACGTCAACCATTCAAAAAAATAATGTTTGGCTCTAGCTTCCAATTAACCAAGCAGCAATAGAATAAAAAATGCACGCCAACAATTCAATAAAAATAATTAATACACGAAGAAGCAGTAACCAAACCAATTGCCTTTAACTTGTTTAATTATAAGAAATGTGATTCTATTTATTATAGAATTGTAATTTCAAATTTCTAGAGGATAAAGGAATCTGCTAAAACATCCAAATTTTTAATATATACATATATATACTAAAAAGAAAGGCATGCCATTGAAATCCATATTTGTAGAAGTCCATAAAGACGCCCAATATAAAGATCTATCTCTTAACTCAAAAACTTATTGTACCTTTCATTCAAAGATCCTAGAGCTTCTTTTGTCCAGATCAACCAAAAAATAGCCGTGATTTTCAATTTCCACTTTTTGCTCTAGCACTTGGCCAACATTGCCTTCGACGGCTTTTGGAATGATATCAACGTACCGAGGCTTGATGATTGCTTGCTCAAGAGAAATTTATATTATAGCTAGAACTAACAGAATAATTTCATGCAAAACATACAATGATTGAGACACTCATGGAATGTCATACAACATAATTAAGTTTCGTTGAACAAGAAAGAGACATAATGGCCAAGCAAAATAAGTTCAACATATTTTTATCAGCATCTTTCTCACAAGCCCTTGCCACCTACGTCTAGTAAATTGGATCGTGAAACAGCATACAATGACCTACATTAAAATACATTGTCCATGTTAAATGAAGCAATCGTGAGAAAATGAATTTCCAATTCATATAGAACGCATAACTTTATACCTTGCGAATTGTACACAATGTTTGCAGACAATGGAAGGATCAAATTTGCAGAAGGTAATTGTTGTGAGACAGAGAACAGTGTGTTGATGGGACATTATGAAAGGGAGAACGGCGACAGCATACAGTTCGACAAGTATGGAATTGGTGTCGGCATGAAACACTATTCTGCTTAATGTGGCTGGACATTGAATCTGCCATCGACCATACTAGTGTTGCTCGTTGTCGGTCAAAGTTACTCTTAATTTTATTTCGAAAAAAATGATTAGCCTAGAATCAAAGAAGCGAACATACCTTTGCTTTCTTTAATGCAGTCTCCAATGGGCTTTTTGTCTAAGTTTCTCTGGAGCCCCCTTTCTTCGACTCAACTTTGGATCTAATACACTAAGGCTTGTACTATTTGATACATTAGTACATTGATTTGGGACCTGAATAGTGTTTTGCGCCACGAAATTACTTCCAATACTCAATTTTGTTCTCGTAAGCTCTTTGCATTAGCATTTTATCCATTCCACTATCGCACGTGAACGTATTTCATCATCTGCAGTAAGGTTTACGAGTTGCACAAACTCGTTAGACATCTCTTCATATCTCAATTGTGTAGGAGTACTGACTAACCCATCGTAGTTTACTGCAACCTTCGTGTGCGCTCTACAAACATCTCTCCTCCATCTCCACGGTATGTACTTGTCTGGAATATGTGTGACGTCATTCCAAGCCAGTACTGTGATCGTATGTCTGCAAAGTATCCCCCGAAACTCAAACAAGTGACATGTGCAAATAATTTCACATTTATCTCTCTCGTATGCCACGATATACATCTTTTTCCTCCAATGGCCCTCACACATAATTGTCTCTTGTACTTCATATGTCATATTGGAACATCCTTCCGAAGTGGACAGGATATCACAATACACCTTTCTTGTGAACTCTGCTTGAATTTCACGAAATTTTGAAATTGTGTAAACTGATTGATATTGTTGCTCCATTTCAAATTGTGTTTCACAGGGTACCAGCTGCGAAAATGACTTAAAATCAGCTTGAAATTCCTTCTCAACCTTACTCCTACGAGCACGTTCGAACTGTTCAACGAACTACTTCAACGAGATTTTCGAATGCACATAGACATCAAAAAATCCATTCATACTCTCACTTCGTTGTATAGTTGACATACCCGCCCAGAAAGTGGTTTTCAAGAAGTAAGGAACCCAACATTCCCTGTTCTCGTACAATCTAGATAACCAATCATTATCATGCAAGTCATACTCCTCAATTATTGCTCTCCAACCGTCTTCGAATTCTTCATTGGATTGCGAATCATATACCAGACCATGTATGGCCCCGAATATCGAACCCTTATTTGGCAACTTCTTTAAAATGTGCCACAATACCATCTATACTTTTTATGTGGGAAAATAATTTGAATTGCATTTTGTATTGTCCTATCTTGATCAGTAATTATACCATGTGGAGCTTGGTCATGCATGCATTGAAGTCATGTCTTAAATAACCATATAAAAGTATCTGTTTTCATTCGATACCAAACCACATCCAAGTAGTGCTGATTGTCTGTGATGATTTACTCCGACAAAAGGGGGGCGAACAACATGTCGTACTTATTAGTCAGATAAGTGATATCGAATATAACGACATCACCAAACTCCTTGTAAGCCGGCCTACACCGATTATCTGCCCAAAATATATTTTTCAGACGCGATTCGTCGTCCAAATCCATACTGAAATAAAATCATGGGCATTGTGCTTGCATTTTCGAAAAATATGTTTGTATTGCTGCAGCATCTCCTTCTCCAAGTCTTAAGCGCCTTACTCGCTCTATGTAGTTACAACAATCCTTTTCAATACATGTCATATTCTCATATCCACCTGTTTCGACAACTACAGCGTTGTAACTTTTACGCAATTAGATTCCTATCAAATCATTCACTTGAAGTTTTTGTTTCACATGTGTGCTCAATTGTCTGTTACATCGATCAAATCTAGATTTAGAAGGACTTATGTCATGATTATGGTCGAGGTTTACAACGTTAATTCTCCAATTCCCAAAAGTAGCAGAAGATGCAAATATTCTGGCCTTACAACCCATCTTTACTGTTGGACGTGGCTTCAAAGAACCACTGCTATAACTGATTATTCTGCCTTCACGACTACAAGTCAATGTCAAATATCTCAAAATCTCATCATACAATTTCTTTGAATTTATTTTCTTGATTGGAAAACCCACGGCACAAGTATATTTCTTGTAGAAATCATACGTATCTACTTTACTTTTAAACAACATACCCACTTCAGGCGCAATTATAACATCTCCCCCTGCTGTTACACCTTCCACTACGTTCACGGACTCCGTTAACTTCTCATTTCCAGATTGCACTACAACATTGGCATCCTTGTCTTGGACGTCCAAATCCATACTTTATTATGCTGCGAAAAAAGCAATCGTCATGTTTAGTCAACATATACAACAACTCTCAGTTCAGATAGTATCATTGTTAAACAATATTTTCGAATTCCATTGCAATGAAATACACAGAAATTAGGCATTAATTCAAAAAGGATTTTAATATATCAGTACATAGGATTTTAGTAGAACTTCAACAAAATTAGGCATTTATTCCATAGAAGCAGCAACTTCTTTCTTATTAGAACATCAATACATTAATTCAAAAAGGATTTTAGTAGAACTTCATCATGAAGTTCAGTAAAATAATATTACGCACTACATTTTAACTTCGGAAGAAAAAAAGAAATAAAGGGGATTGCTTTAGGAGGCTAAAATGACAAGCTGAAAGCCTCAACATTTTCAGCTTTGCTATTGAGGACTGGTAATTGGGACGTATCACTAACGGACAATTTTTCAGCAACCATTCACCCTTTGGTTTGGCTAGCTTTTGAAAACTTGAAGTAATTAATTAATTTTAAAAGCAACCTTATTATAGAAGAAATAAACTTCGGATTTCAACTGAAACTTCCATGGATTGACGATTTTTACACGTCACAAACATAAACTTCAAATCTGCAAAAATCGAAAACATGTATGCTACCTTCAAATCTGCAAAAATTGAAGATCGTCACTCGTCCACAATGACCTTTGGCTCTTGCAAACCGGCAAAAATGTCTTTCGAATACCTTCAATTGACAACACAAAAGCTTATGTACGTTGCCTTCAATCGACCACAAAAGCAAGCTCATGTACGCTGCCGAAAGTACTAAAACCGAAGGGAATACCGTTGTCGGAGTTCCCCACGTTGTCGGTGCCTTATGTGTAATTTTGGGGGAAATCATTTTTTCAGACAAAGATGAAATGGGTGTCTAACTTGGGCGAACAAGGATGTAATTTGGGCTTGGTTTCCCTCCAAAAAGTCAGCACATGTGACTTATTCTGCAGCACACATGACACATTTAAACCCCTATCCGTGAGTATGTGCAAGTAGAATTATCCTTTCTTTTTTTCCCTTTCAAATGTCTGCTTAACACAAGATTTTAGCTCTGTGATTTGATTTTTAAATTTTTATGGAGCTTTAATTTGCATATATATTACCAAATCAGACATAAAAGTTCCAATGGTTCTAATACCAAGTGTAGAAAGAAATAGCCAACTCAATTATACACATGTCTTACTCTTTATGTGTGTATGTCAAGTTATGCAGACGGTAGTAGTTTATGTCGAGTCATGCTTGTTCTTGATTGATCACCATATGTGGTTTTCGATGGTGTACAGGTTGATCTAAGCCAGCTATTGTTGATACCAGTGATGTGGTTAATGTCCAATTGTTCAAGAACAAGGCTAAGAAATTTTATTGGATGCTAGAACTAGGCAATACAAGAGGATAACGTAGTCTGCTCAGATATATATTTTGGATTCCAACAAACTTTTTTCCCACATGGATTAGAGAAAATGTTTTGCAGCTAATCATTGTAAACAATATTTGATGTTAGCAGTTTATAGACTAAAGATGTATCCAATGTAATGGATAGTGTCATTTTTTTTTAAATTTATGTCATTTATTGAACTGATTCCAACGTTACAACTTGTTTTGTCACTTTTTCTTTTTTTTGAATTTTGTCGTTTGTTGAGTGTTTGTCACTTTTTTTTTTTTTTTTTTTAAATCCATGTAACTTTTTTTAAATTTATGTCATTTATTGAACTGATTCCAACGTTACAACTTGTTTTGTCACTTTTTCTTTTTTTTGAATTTTGTCGTTTTTTGAATGTTTGTCCCTTTTTTTTTTTTTTTTTTAAATCCATGTAACTTTTTTTAAATTTATGTCACTTTTTAAATTCGTCACTTTTTTTAAAAATTTCTGCTACTTTTTTGAATTTTCGTCACTCTTTTAGTAATTGTCACTTTTTTGAATTTTTATCACTTTTTTTTTCAATCTTCTTTTTGAAATTTGTATCACTCCTTTTAATGACAAACATCACTTTTTAATAATAGTGACATCGTATTTAATTTTTTAATAAAAAAGTAATACTAAAAAAATGGGACACAATATTTATAAAAAGTGACATTGTGTCATTTTTTAATTTTACACAATATTTTTTATTTCCAATATTTTTTTCATATGATTTTTCGAAAAACCCCTAATTTTAAAGGTATTTTTCTAAGATGCCCATGTTTTTGTCTCGTTGAGCCTTAAATTTGCATTGGACAAAGTGAAAATTACATCCCTACCTACTTTTCAAGATCAATATTCTAAAATCATAGTGAAGGTTTCATTGTTCAAAAATCAGATATTTTTAATATTAAATATTATAATATAAATTTTGTCCAACCCTAATTTATTTTCATATTCCTCTCTCTCTCTCTCTACATCTCCCCGGCTCGCCCTCTCTCTTTCTCTCTCCTTTCATCAATTCAAACTTCGATAATCAACAATGGAGCCGCTCCGGTCGACACCACACCACAAGCACCCATTGTTGCCGGGCAAGCAGCCTGTGGTGCTAGTACACTCATCATCGCAGATCTGCAGGCGCCGCCACTGATCTCCCCATTCTTCCTTTTTAATTTTTTTTTTGAATTGAGCGTGGTTGGCAGTTTGGTGGAGGTGTGCGGTGGTGGTGGTACAGTGCTATGGGTACGGTGGTGGTGGCGATTCAATTGTGTTGTATTCAATTCTTTGGATCCGATTTTGTTTGGTGGCTGTGGTGGCGAGGTGATGGTGGTGGTGGTCGTTTAATCCCTAATTTTATGTGGTGGAGATGGTGCTTGCGGTGGTGATTGATGGTATGGTAGTGGTCGCTATGGTGATCGATTGTGGTGGTGGCGGTCGCCATGGTGACTGATGTTGATGGTGGTGGTTGCTGCAACAAAGATGGTGGTATCTCCGATAGCACCGTTTCTCTGTTGTGGTGATGAATTTGTTGGTGCGTTGTGGCGTTGACAAGTTGTCATAAGGTGGTGGTGGCTTTGTTGGCGACGATGGCGCTTCTTCGTAGTGGTGGCGGTAATGGTGATAATGATGGTGGTTGTGGTTGTGGTTGTGGTTGTGGCGGCGGTTGTAACGGTGGGCGGTGGGGAGAAATAGGGTTGGATGCTTGTGACTAATTATTTGGTTGCTTGTGACTAATAATTGATTAATTTGTAATATATGATCGTGACTCATAATTGATTAAGGTATGATCGAAAAATTAATTGTAACTAATTAATCTAATAATTTGTAATAAATAAATGAGTTGTGACCATTAAAAGTTTTGATTCTATGACCTATAAAATTTATGATTCGTGACCAAAAAATAATATATAATTTATAAAAAAAATTATTTGTGATCGAGAAGTAAGTTGTAACCAATAAATTGGTAAGTTATGACTAAAAATTAATACGTGACTAATTAATTTTTTGATTTGTGATCGATGAACAAACTGTGATATACAAAATTTTTGAATTGTGATCGTAAAATAATTTGTGATAAAAAATAATAAGTTACTAATTAAATCGTTAATTTGTACATAAATGTGACCTAAATATATTTAATTAATGAAATAATTAATTAAATTATAAATAAAATTTAATAAAAATCCGATTTATAAAACTTGTTTTATTGATTTTGAAATGTGTGATACTTGAACTCTTTCTTAGTTCTCATTTGATTTTCAGTCTTGGGTCACAAAAAAGAAAAATATAATCTTTATCTATTACATCAAGTCACCATTGTTGATTTTTTATTTCTTGTGTGGATCCCATAATAATTATATTTTTCATTCTTACTCTTAAAAAAGTGGAAGGGCTTATAAAATTTTCCCTTGGACAAATCCTCCCTCATCTAAGACGGAGCCCGGCGCCCATGGGCCAGCCCAACACTATGCGTCGGCCTCCAATTTGTGATAATGTACTCCGCCCCGATCTCTTTATATGTGCCATTTCAACCCTAAGAATTATCATTTCCCAGCGTTCGTCTTCTCTCTTTGCACTAAAAACCCTAATACTCTCTCTAAAACCCAAACTTTCACTCTTTCATAACAATGGAGTTTTGGGGTAAGCGTCTCTCGTTTTCCCATTTGGCTCTCTTATGTATCTATCTACTTATTGATCATCGCGTACCTCATTTTTTTTCGTTTTTGGATGATTCTGCCTTTTTTTTCTTTTTTTCTTTTTTTTTTTTT